TTCCCAGCAATCCAAGGCGGCCACCAGGTGTTAGTGGTCTTGAGAACAAGGGTAACTTTGTATCCTCACATGAGTGCTGCACGTTGTGAGCACCCAGCGGATACTGAACTAGTCCAAGATGCACTTGTTAAAAAAAGAGAATGAACATGAGAGCCACACGGAGGGGTGCGGCTAACGGTGCATAAACAAAGGGATTAAATGGAAAACTCAATTATCCTGTAAACTTTGAGTTAAATCACAAGGGACGCCAGAAATAAGGACCAACACACCCACAACTTCCAACTCCACACACTAGAAATTGGCGAGACAATCAATATACAAGACATGAAAATCTTTTTATTTTCAAAAAGAGAATTCATTTTTACATAAATCTACAACAGAGAATTCAAACGTAGAAAAAATAAACTCTCTCCAGGCCTGGTGCTCAGTGGACAGCTCCTCAAGCCGAGGCACCATCACCAGGACAAGTGACCGGGGTACTCAGCCTCACCAGGGCCCACAAAATCCACACAAAAAAAGTGATCTTACAGGGGACCCGAACCCACCATTTTAATAAGAACCCATTTGGCTGCAGTTGTCTGAGAACTAATCAGACAGACACACACACACACACTCCCTGGAACCTTCTAGAACTATTTCCTCACCATGCCTGATAGCCACCCAGCAGCCCTGGCCCCCAACCCCATCCGTTTGAGGCTGGGCGCTCTCCACCTGCACCCGCTGCCACAGCGGAGCCAATCCCACACGGCCACCTGAAGACCATAGCTAGAAAGGGTCACACAGGCCATCAACCCGAGCAATTCTCTGCACATCGACAGACCATTTCCAGAGGCCTGTCCACTGCCTCCCAACCCAGGGCTGCCCGAGCCTCCTGCAGTCAACTCCTGTCCCCCACGTACCAATCAGTCCTCAGCTTAGGGGGTCAGACCTGCCGCTAGGTTGTGCCCCATTACTGCCCCGTGCACAGCCTCCAGTGTCTGGTCTTGGCCTGGGGTCTGGGCTGAGCTGCAGGGACGAGGGCCCTTCGCAGGGTGTCTGCTTTGGGGGAACCCTCTGCTGCAGCCATCATAAGGCTGTCTGATGCAGCCAGTCGGAGACAGGTCTGTGGATACCCGCCAGCTGAGTGGGCATGGGGACAGGGATATGGGGACAAACACCAAGCCATCAACAATATGAACCGCCAACGTCCAGAACACAAAACATACTTTTACAAGAAAATAACTTTACAGTGTTGTTTTCCAGAAAGACACTGGGAATCACAACAAACGGGGTCAGCAAATGGGCGAGGGTCGTGTGGGAGGTCCACAGACAGACTGTGGCCAGCGCTGGGGCAGGTGAGTTCCTGTCACTGCAGAGAAAACGGGGTAGGAAAAGTATCACAAACAGTGGAGCCCATCGACCGGGGAAACCGCCACCTACGGGAAGCCAACGTCACCCGTGGTAGAAAGCAGAACGGGTGCTGAACCTGCTCCGACAGTCGGGGCAGGACCCCGCCCCATGCGGCAGGACTGTCAGTGTCTTCAGCACCTGGGGAAACTTCCGGTGTGTGGTGTGCCTCGCCCCGTGACCTGGAACCCGGGTCAGCCAAGCACAGGAGCCGTGTCTGCTGGTCTCTGTTTCTGGCTGGCCGTCCACCAAGACCACGTGACCCTAACAGTCACTCTTCCACAGTTTGATGGTTTTGTCATTTTCCAAGGCGGCGGAGGCGATGATGTTCTCTGTTGGGTGACAGGCCGTGGAAATCACAACATCTGAAAAACAAGCGGCAGTCAGGAATCTCCCCTCAGCCTGCAGCCAGCCTGTGTCCACTACCTGACATGGTCTGTGTACCTAGCCAGTAAGGTCAGAGGAGGCCTGCATGGACACCTGCTCATCTGCAGCAACAAGTTCCCGGGAAAGAGACAAAAGTCTTACTTCACGACAGGTGAGTGTGCAAAGTCCACCAAATTCTCCAAGGAGCCGACAGCACGGCTGTGTGCTGACCAGCAGGGTGGAGTGTGGGGGAATGTGTGCCCAAGTGTGTGCGCGCGTGCACGTGTCCTGCACGTGCGAATGACTGTCGTGTGTGTGCATGGAGCGTGGAGGTGGTGCAAGAGCAAGAGTGGCCAGAGGGCGAGGGCATCCAGATAGCCAGGAACTGCCCAAGTGACACGATGCCCAGAGCACCAGCCCCTCGTGGGAGAGCAAGCCCTTGGGGGAGACCACCAAGTTCATAGTCCAGTTCCTGGTACAAGAGATGAAGGGTGGCCGTGGCAAGGACAGAGCTCGGAGGGGCGGCCACGTAAGGACAGAGCACCCTGGGAGGTCAGGTGTCCGTGAACAAGCAGCAGAGGCAGGGGTGGTGGGCCACGCTCAGATGCACCCCAGGGACCCCAGCCCCGGAGCAGGGAGGATAAGGAGCCCACACAGAAATCACTCACAGATCTGGGACTCTTCTGACACCTCTGCTCACCTGTGTGACCTTGAAGCTTCTGAACAATCTCTTTCGTCTGAAGATTCCAGATGTAAACCAGGTTGTCCTCAGAACCAGACACAATCCACTGGACAAAGACCAGGAGTAGAGGTCAAGCACGGTCAGGGGCACCAAGTGCAGGAAGGGCAGTGCCCACCCAGCCCCCCGTGGCTGCTCTGTAGGAAGCTGGGCCGGACAGCCTCCTGGCCCCTGGTCAGGGGCTGGTGTCCTGTGTGCCTGAGGGACCACGTGGGCCGAAACCCCCACTACCGCAGGCAAACCTCCAATGGAAGGTCTGTGAGAAGCCATCTCTCCAGCAGCCTGGCCCCTCCCTGGGCCCTCCCACTGCGGTCTCCTCCTGCTGCTTCTACCACAAACCTTCCCTCACTGCTCTGCGCCACTAAGGCGACTTGTCATCCAGTCGGAACAGACTCGGAGCCGAGTCACAGCTGACCCACCCCCCCAGCGCATCTGGAGGCTGGAAATCACACAGGAGATGGCCCAGCATTTTCCACAGGCGGCTAGTGGACTCAAACCACTCACCTCTGCGTTGGCAACACAACACCTTAGCTATGGGGCCACCGCAGAGCATAAACATACAATTTCTAAGCATTGGGAAACCAAACCCATGTGACCTGTTTTCTCAAAGTATTCACTCTGCTGTGGTGTCTGGCACTGAACCCTCAAGGTCTCCCTGTGTTTTTCTAAAGAACCATTTTTTTAAATTTTTGTTTCACTTTCAAGTCAGCAACACGTCACCATCCTCCCTTTAATGGAAGGAGCACGGCCTTCCTGTGATCAGACCACGAGACACAGGAGGGACCAGGACCACAGCCAGGGGCCACGTCCCCACCTCAGCTCCACAGGAAGCGAGTAGATGGCAGCACACCACAAGGCAGGAGGTGGACACAGGGGGCCCCAGCCCAGCCTGGTCACCTCAGGGAAACGCACCTTCCCACCAGTGACGGAGAAGTTGGCGAAGATGCAGTACTTCTCATTCTTGTGGCCCGTG